CATGGCAAACCAACATTCTCAGTTGCCCTCCACTGAGGGCCGTAGGCAGAGGCAGGAGTGGGTAGCAGATGCTTCACACATTATACCTCCTGTTAGCATCTTGGCATAGGATTATCATCCACAGCCACACCTGGCTTCATTGTCTCAGCGTCGCCAGGGGCTGAAGTCTTGAGCTCTTTTCCCCGCAAATCTTGATCAGTGGGCAACTGGGAAACATATCTCAAGAGATGCGGTCTCTTTCCAGTTATTCCATCCCTACCATCGATGGGTTCACTCACCATTTATGGCCACCCTCACTAACTTGCTTTGAAAAAGAGAGATCAATTCATGAAGATACTCATTGTGTGCAAGAGTTTTTAATAGCTTATGTTTGCAAGACCTAATAATTACATTCTTCTCAGGGAATTGCTACGTATACATATCACATCGTAAGCATTTTTACTTCCCCTTCCCCTCCTCACCGGCCTATCCTCAGCCTCCCTTCTCCCCTCCGTGCAGTCTACATGTCTGCGCCCTGTTCCTACAGAGCTCTCATTGCCGCATTCTGATTTCGGGAGTTCCCCAGAACAGAGGCCTGCACAGCACTCACCCTGATCCTTCAGCAGCGTTTTTAACCACTTAAAGGATAAACTGCAGAACGGATCTCTTTTTAAGTCCTCCTTCCATGAAAGCTGTGCTGTTTGGGGATGATTATTTTATTCTGACTTTTATGTGAGTATGTCACTGTCATCCAGTGTTGGCATTTTGGTGTAAAATTTCTTGTCTTTGTGCTTAAAGGCATTTTTCAGCAGGATCCAGTTTTGTGGAATGTGTAGGAAGTAACAAATGAAGCATCCTACTTGCCTGTAGAGAAAAGCGCTATCCAGGAAGCAGTTATTAAATTCTTGGCTGCATAAGACAATGGCCTTGTCCTCTGCTCTTTCATACCCGACCCTTTGCGGCAAGTGTGATACCCAATAAAGGCACTGCAGGGACCCCACGTGGAAGAGAGAGACAGAGACGATGCCCTAGATTTCTGTGGAAACACCAGCCTTGCCAGAAGCTCACTCTGTCCCATCTCCTTGGGTGTTGCTGCCCATGCAAGCAGTCAGAGGCCGATTCCTAGAACAAATGCCACAAGTGGACCCAGTCCAATTCGTGGGAGCTCGAACAGTGCTTCTCCTGGGCTGCAACTGCCGCATCTGACTTCATCCTGGACAGAAGGTCTCAGCCAGGGGGAATTATTTTTCTTTCCAAAGAATCCAGGAGCTCCCATCCTATGATCCCTTTAAAATGTAGGCTGTCATCCTCTGTACCATCGACACCGTCGCCCTTAACATCTGCCACGCACCAGATTTTAAGCTTCCCTTTTCTTCTATCTGTCCCTTCTTTGATCCCTTCTTAAGGAGCCGCATCTTCCTCGTGCCTCAAGCTCTGTAACTAGCAACTGCCCTGTGCTCTTGCTTCCTCAGCCCCATGTCGTGTCACCCCTGCCCTGGTTGTGGGGAGCAGTGGGGATGGCACACACTCCTCTGTCTCCTGGGGCTCTGTTTCTCATTCCCTGCCTCATTTCAGCAGTTCCTCCAACAGATGAACCGGAGACTCTTTGGTCACGTGGACAATAATGACGCCACCGAGGTTCTGTATATGGAGGAAAAGTTTTGAGATAGGGCTGTGGGAGTCCCTACCCACACCCCAAGCACAGGGACATAGATAGAACTCTACATTCCTGTGACCCACTGCCCTTTGTGTTAGCTATACAGAAACTAAATAGTACATCCACATCTACAAACTCGACCCATAAACCAAACCCATTATAACCTCAATCTAGACCTAAAAATGTTAAAGACATTATGTTATAATGATACATGCATATCTATATTTATAGCAGCACAAATCATAATAGCTAAATTTTTGAAGCAACCTATATATCCATCCACAAATGAGTGGATAAAGAACATGTAGCATTTGTACACACTGGAGTAGTGCTCTGCCATAAAAAGGATAAACATGAGTCATTCATGAGAAACTGGGTGTGCATTGAGACAATAATATTCAGAGAAATAAATCAAATATTACACTTAAATATTGCATCATTTCTCTTATATAAGAAACCCAGGCATGGTGGTGCATGCCTATAATCCCAGCACTCCGGAGGCTGAGGCAGGAGGATCGTAGCAAGTTCGAGACCAGCCTGGGCTACAAAGTGAGCTCAAGCCCAGCCTCAACTGCATAGTGAGGCCCTGTCTCAAAAAGACAAAAAGAAAAAAAAAAAAAAAGAAACCCAAAATATAAATATCAAACAAAATAAAAGGTAATAGAAAACAGGGAGATCAATCTTTTGAATAAGCAAAGAGGAATGGAGAGAAAGAGATTGAAAAGGAAATAAGATGTGTTATGTAGATGGACCAGCTCTTTATGATGACTGTGTTATGTGCTGCAAACATGTACTATTAAAAATCAATGAATAATTTTTTAAAATCTTAACTGAAATGTCCTCCCTCACCCCACCTAGCCTTGGTGCAATCTTCAGTCTCACTGCAGTTCAAAGGCTGACTGGGATAGACAGTGACTTTATCGAGCATGAACTCCAGTTGTAACCCCAGCCAGTTGCCCTGGACAAGGGAAACTCCGCCAGCACTTCATGTGATGCTTCTTTTTCAGGACACTCTGGAGATGTGTTCCAAAGAGACGGAGTTTAAGAGCATCCTCTTCGCTCTTTGTTACTTTCACGCAGTCGTGGCAGAAAGACGAAAGTTTGGGCCCCAGGGATGGAATCGATCCTACCCCTTTAACACTGGGGACCTCACCATCTCTGTGAATGTGCTCTACAACTTCCTGGAGGCCAACACAAAGGTAAAAAAAAGGGGTGCAGGCCTGCTTTCAGGATGATGAGGCATTCCATACGGTGGCGGGGATGGGGCGGAGAAGTCTACATCCTACAGAAGTGGAATGTGGAGGATCCTGCCATGCCCAGGACCACCTGAGGCTGAGAAGTCTGCAGTGAAGTCACAGCCAGGGAAGCTCACTGGGAGTGAGTCAGTCCCATGAGAATTTGCCCCAGGGTCCCCAGAGCACCTATATGTACTCTCAGCATGGCAGGCAGGCTGCAGATTGGCAGGAAGAGATCCCACATTCACCTTATGTAAATTCCAGATTGTACTGGCCACAGGTACAGAACCTCTCATGGGACTCACAGTGTGTGTTGCTTGGGGTATGGTTTTCCCAAAGTTGAAAAAATAATTCTTGCTATACCCACGCCTCTTCTCTTTTGCAACTCCACTTCAGAGAAAAGTGGTGCCAGCCATCAGTTCTCTTCCACCTAAAAGACTGTTCACATCATCGAGGGGCTTGTAGTTCTTGGGCCAAATACAGCCTCAGCAGGGCACCACCTCTTCCTGGAGGGGAGAAACAATCAGACCTAGAGGCCCTGAGAAATCCTTTTTTCTCTAGCCCTGGGGTTCTGGGGATCCACTCCCCATCACACCATTCCTTCGATTCATTTGTTAATTTGACCCAAAAGGCTTCCCGCCCCTAAATCTCAACGCAGTGTGCTGGTGAGCTGTAGCTCATCCACTCTGAACTTTCAAACTGGGCAATTAATTAGCCTCATCATTAGTAGCAAAAAATCAGAAAAGTACTCTGGTCCTAACTTTCCTCCGTTTGACACTTGTCTATTTAAAGAGCTTCTAGAACAAGCCAGCCTTCACTGTCACAGTTAGTGGCCATGAAAGGGGGGAGATAGTTGTGTGAGGGTTCTGGCACCTTTTCTCTCCTCGCCATGTGCTATAATTCTTCAGGTATTTAATGAGCTCCCAAAACATGCCCGGTACAGCTGAACATTGGTGATATAAAGATAAGACACTGACCTGATCTCAAGAGTCATCCCGGCTTGTGGCTTCTGCTCTGCCTGCACATCAAGTCAGCCCCGCTGCCTGTGTGGAGGTCTTTCTGTACTCTCTCTCCCGTCTCTCAGGTGCCCTATGATGATTTGCGCTACCTGTTTGGTGAGATCATGTACGGAGGCCATATCACAGACGACTGGGACAGGAGGCTCTGCAGAACTTATCTGGAGGAATTTGTTAAACCGGAAATGTTGGAAGGGGAACTGTCCCTGGCCCCAGGGTTCCCACTCCCAGGCAACATGGACTACAATGGTTATCACCAGGTGAGGCTCTGCTCTGTGCGGAGATGAATGGCAGGACATGCCAGCTCCCAGGGGACCTGGGCGTTCCTCCCATCTACCCTGCACACCCAGGGCTACTCATTCTGTAGCCTGTTGCCAGGCTACAGGCAGGGCCCAGGGAAGAACTGTCCAAAGAGCTGAGTTTCTATCAACTTTGACTCTCTGTCCAAGTTTTTCCTATTTGACTTGAAAGATAGAAAATTTGTATCTGCAAGTTAATGATAACACTGAGGCTTTAGAGATCTTCTTATTCTTAATGTTTGAATAACTCTATTTGTTGCCATTTCTACAAATAACACCTGAGCAGTTATTTGATTGTTTTTATTCAGGAAATTGACAAAGACATTATCTGTGGAGAAATTTTCGGTAAAAATTTAACTAACTTTTGGTAAAATTTGCATCAGTGATTGTAGATATCTTCAGAGAGAATGAGCTTGTGGCCAGATCACTCAACCCTCCTGCTCCCTGTTAGTTGCTATGAACAATCACACATGTCCACATACAGAAAAAAAATTATCCTCAGCAGGGTGCAGTAGTGTACATCTACAATCCCAGAAATTCAGGAGGCTGAGGTAGGAGGATCCCTATTTAGAGGCCAGCTGCAGCAATCTAGTGATACTCTGTCTCAAAATAAAAATAAAAAGGACTAGGGTGTAGCTCCGGGGTAGACAGTTTGCCTAGCATGCACAAGGGTCTGGGTTCACTCTATAGTACAAAACAAATCTCATGGAGATTTTTCATATTATATGCTTTCTCATGTACTATTGCTGCAGGTATTTTTAAAGCATTCAGCTTTGCTTATGTAATCTGCTATGAAAAATATACTGAAAGATAGTTTTCCCCAAAAAAATTTTATTGCTGGACTTTTGAACATGCTTAAAAAAATTCCAACTTACCAAAGCTTACATCAAACTTAAGAGAAATAACAGCCGTTGAAATATTAACTATAAGCCTTAAAATTTTTTTATTCATAAAACGTAAAAGGGTTAGTCATAAAAGTTATTTGATCCACAAAATCCATATCTATGAGCAGAAATTTAAAGTCGGGCTCTAAGGAAACTAAGGAATTTTTTCAAAATTACTTTTAAAGGCATTGCCCAGGAAAATAGTGCGAGAGCACCCCCTAGTGTCCACAGCATAATTTGACAAGGTGCGAGGCAAAGTGAAAAGAAGTCAGGAGATCTGATTATCTTATCAACAGTAGTAACAGGGTTTGCACGTATCCAAACGTCCGAGGTAATGTTTCCTTTCTTCACAGCTCTCTTTAATGTTTCAGTTAATACAGTGTTACAGGGTTCCTGCCAAGGGTCTTGACATGTGATGAGTCCTGGAGGAAGTATAAAATTAATAGTCCAAATTTGCTTCCCTTACACTAGATATTAAAAACACCACGAAATCATCAAAATCCTGTGAAGAGCTTAACCTGGGCAATATTTTCTTGCCATTAGAAAAAGAATTATGGAGCACTCAAAGCATTCAGAAAGGGAGGTGACCCTTACAAGCTGGGTAGGATTATTCATGCATGGCGGATTGTGGCCGTTAGAACTGACCAAGGAGATACGTTTTGCGGGGTACTCACTGTTTTAAATTTTTAAATTCAAATGCCTTTCACCAGTGGCATGGACTCTTCAGTTTTCGGCCAGGCTCACCTCGTCCTGCAGCCCAGATCACATATTCATTTGCACGCACAGCCTTGTGCCTGTGTTTAGGTTTGTCATCCCTGATTTGGATAAACAGAAACTGAGAAAGAATTTTAAAGGAGAAGGCTGGCAGCCTAGAAGAGTTTGAGTAAAAATACCAGGGAGTGATTCATATTTTTGATAGGCTGTGAAAAGTCCTGCAAGGATAAGGATCCAGCAGGGATAAGGCCGTCCAAGCTTCCTGAAAAAGAGACAGCTACAGTGAATATGGAAGCTCTGGGAAACTGGTGTAGGCCGACAGACGATGTCAGCAACAGGCTGAGGGTGTGGATGAGCACACATGTTGAGGTCCATCCCTGGGTTGATGAGCAGTGGCCCCCTGGAGACCCCCCACAGAGCAGGAGCTGCTCTAGCAGACAGGGGATGCACCTTGGTTGCTTTTTGTGCGAGCTTGTCTTTGGTTTCAGTACATTGATGCCGAGCTGCCCCCAGAGTCGCCCTACCTCTACGGCCTCCACCCAAATGCCGAGATCGGTTTCCTGACTCAGACCTCGGAAAAGCTCTTCCGCACAGTGCTGGAGCTGCAGCCTCGGGAGAGCCAAGATGCAGATGGAGCTGGCAGCGCACGGGAAGAAAAGGTGCATAGTGGGAGTTGCTTGGGGTGGCTCTGGGGACCCCAGGACTGCAGATGGCCGCTCTTCCGAGTGACGGCATTGCCAGTATTCAGCGTGGGCAACACGCACAAGGCACCGAGCAGCCAGCCTTGAGATGCTGGCCCTTCACCTCCATGCAGCCCTCCCTGCCCAGCCAAAACGCCGACCCTCTCACTAAGCGTTAGAAGTCCCTAGCACTGGGCTTGACTGTGCCAGTTCACCCAAAGTCAGTTTTTATTCAGTTTGTCCGCCAAAGAGAAGAAAGCCCAGGGTTAAACAAAGGTGGTTTGGGAACCTTAAAATTGACTTCGTAATTCTTTGGCATAATAAGCAATGATAGATGCAGAGATACTTTTAAACACCTCCACCTTCCTCCAGCAACTAGGTGTACATTTGGATGAACACATTTCTCTTCATGAAAAGACTTTCTCTGCATGTCAGTGACTTCTAGCCAGTCTCTGAATGCATGATTAAGTGTTTCTAAACATGGGATCCACCGAGGTTTCAGGAGGGTGGAGGGAATTATGGAGTAGAAAGGCAGATTAAGGTGAGGTTGAGTTTGAGGATAATTCAAGGCAGTATGCAAGCTCTGTTCCTGGTCTAAGGATAGCACAGGGCAGAAAAACAATAGGCCACCAAACTGAAACACCTCCATGAAATTCTTCCTAAAACAGGCTAATCAAACTTCCAAAAGGTACACGTCTACCGACCCATATCTCTCTTACCACACTGCCTGGATTCCTTTATTTAGAGATAGTACTATTGGGTTTATGAGGAAACATCTTTGGAAGATTAACAGTTAGGAACCCTGGGTGGTCAGCAAACTTAGAATTTGGACTGATTGTTAAAAGCAAGTTGATTAGTACTAAAGGAGTTGGACTTATGGTTAAAAGCATGGAGTGGTATGGTCAGAGCTGTAACTCTCAATTTTTAATATGCCTAAGACGAGCCAGAGAGCTTGAAACTATGACTCTGAGGATTGGGAGTGTCATTTAAGGTAGGAAAGAAAAAGGAAAGAAGGAAGGAAAGAAGGAAGGAAAGGGGGAGAGAGAGAGGGAGGAAAGAAGGTGAACAGAAGGATAGAAAGAAGGAAAATAAATTCTAACATATGGAGTTAGGACCAAAAATTTGCTAATGATTCAAGTTGCTTTAAATCATACTACTGAGCCTATTCCACTAATTCATAAGGATATAATTTGAAAACAAAAGGAATAAAATAACCCAAACCACCCAGAAATAAAAATATTCATAGCTCTAAAAATGAAGAAGGCTGACACTGTATAAGAAGTAACCTTAGGATTCTTCAGCTAAGGTTCAAAACACCTTCTAACCTTTGTCACGAATCTATCCCTTCTAGCAAAGTCAAGAAATGGGGTGTGTATGTGTGTATCTGTGTGTGTGTGTGTTTCCAAAACTGGTGTGAACTACAATGACTTGCTCTGCATAATATTGTATGGGATGAAGATGTGGGTTATAGGGCGTATGTGTAATTGTGCTGTGTGCTTGTGCTTAGCCATGGAAGTGTCTCTCCTATCACTTCTATAGCATGAGCTTTGTCCTTTCCCATTCTCAAGAGGAGAAGCTAACAGCAAAAGCCCGGAGAGAATGTTTTATCATTAGGTAGTAAAGGACTGTAGATGTTGCACACTCCACATATTTTTGGCTCAAATCTACTCCCAAACCCACATCTCCGCGATGGGCAACTGCGGATGCTGGTATATGGCTAAGCTCCGAGTGCCCAGGAAGGAGAGAGAAAAGGTGGAAGGTAGGGGAGTTAGGCAGGAGACAACTAACAGCCTTCCACAATCTTCACCCAAGCCTGGATTTTCTTTCTAGGGTGCTATGGGTTTCCATAACGACCTGTGTTTGCACTGTGTTGGCCCCTAGAGGCTCTCTTTGGTAGATACATCTACGGCTCATCAGGAAGAGCACCTGGCTACATCTCTCTGCTTGGGCTCCCACAGCAAAACACCAAGAGCAGGTGGCTTAAACAACAGCAATATATCTTCTCATAGATCTAGAGGCTCGAAGGTGTAGTTTGCTTCCACTCCTCTGAGGCCGCTCTTCTTCTCTTGCAAATGGACACCTGCTCACCCTGTCTGCACACGGCCCCTCTCCTGAGCCTCTCTTGTCTCTCGTGTTTGTATCCAACTATCTTCTTTGCCTAGGACACCAGAAAGATTAAACGAGAGTCTATCTTAATGGCCTCATCTTAACATAATCATCACTTCAAAGGCCCAATCTCCAGGTCATGTCACATTCTGAGATACTGGGGTTTAGGACTTCGACATGGGGGCCACAGTTCAGCCCATAGCATGGGGCTCTGGCTGTCACCCCTTGGATTTATGCCTTCCTCTATCTCTTAGTCATGAGAAAACCTCTCTCATTTAAAGTCCTTCAGGCCGGGGATATAGCTCAGCAGCATAGCACCTGCCTGGCAAGCACAAGGTCCTGAGTTCAATTCCCAGTACAAACAAACAAACAAAGTCCTTTAATACTGCATTTATTTAGTGTTGAATGCCTAGCTAGTCATCTGGAGAAAAAGTGGGTTCCCTTGCTCCTTTTACCAAGGTATATTACAGATGGTTCAAATGTTTAAATATAAAACATGGAAACCTAAAAGCGCTGGGGGGCAGCTGGGGTAAGTGCCTTTATAATCTTACAAGGAGGAACCTATATTTAAATTTTAAAACAATAACTCAGAATTTGTAAAGAAAAAGATTGGGAATGTGATAGCTTTAAATCTTTAAAACATCTGCAAAAATCACCATGAACAAAGTCAAAGGCAAGCTAGAAGAACCTATTTGCAAAAAGATAGTGGGCAGTATACAAACTTTGCTAATATACAGAGTTCTTAAGTATAAAAAAAGATGAAAGGGAGAAGAGGGAAGGTGAGCACAAGGGAAATTCACATAATAAATATAATTGGCCAAAAGAATATCACTAATATCACTAATAACTAATAGAAGCCCAATATCAATATCACTAATAACTAAGAGAAGTTAAGTGAAAAAGCCTTTTTAACCTAATGGTAACTATTTTAAAATACTGGTGAGTGCATAAGAAAGTAGGCATACTCATCCTTTTTGGTGGAAATTTAATTTATACAACAATTTCATAATAGGTACCAAAATTTAAAAGGTTCAAATTTTCACTCTAAGAAATCAGCCAACACGAGGCTGTGGAGAAATAGGAACCCTTCTCCACTGCTGGTGGGAATGACTGGTGAAACCACTGTGGAAATCAGTTTGGAGATTCCTC